AAAAAAAAAAAAGATGGAGTCAACATTTCCTTTGGGGGGAAAAAAAACGTCAAAGAATGATACACCTGATTCAAGTGCAGCACAAGAGTCCACAAAGGACAATGAGGAGAACACTTCCATAATTTTCAGAGCGCCTAGGGCAAGGTTTCTTTTAGAATCATGAAAAATTTCCAGGCTCTTTCTATATTTATAATGGGCAGAAAACCATTGCATGAAACCACCTCTCCAATATTGTGCGGCTGGCTGGCTTTGGAAATGACATAATTAAAACATAACCACAGACTTCAGTATCTCTGGTGCTGTGTGTCTGTGCGTGTATCCCAAATTAACCCAATCCCCTAAAACCAAACAAAAATTTGTTTATAATTTTAGTGGAATTTTGTGAAAAACTGAACTTTGAGTTGTCAGGAATGACTAATTTATGGAGCATTAGGAAGCATGACTGATTTTGGTGTTACCTTCCTATTATCTCATTTTATAGTTTTTGACCTGATTCACATTTATCAGACATTTCTGTGTATAAAGCAAATGAATAAAACATTGTATTATTTGATAGTGTAACACAGTTATCTTTGTCAATAGACTCTCAAAAAAAGGAGCAAATGTTTCAATGTATTCACTTTAAAACCGCCTATGCCAAATTTTTTTTTTAATTTTTAAAATTTTTTATTTAAATTCAGTTTCGTTAACATATAGTGTATTATTAGTTTCAGGGGCAGAATTCAGTGATTCATCAGTTGTATATCCCATCACGTGCCCTCCTTACTGCCCATCACCCAGTCATCCCATCCCCACCCACCTCCCCTCCAGCAACCCTCAGTTTGTTCTCTATAGTTAGGAGTCTTTTATGGTTTGCTTCCCTCTCTGTTTTTATCTTATTTTGCCTTTCCTTCCTTTATGTTAATGTGTTTTGTTTCTTAAATTCCACACATGAGTGAGATCATATGATAACTGTCTTTCTCTGACAGACTTATTTCGCTTAGCATAATCCCCTCTAGTTCCATTCATGTCGTTGCAAATGTATGCCGAATTCAATATATATTCAGTGACTCCTCCTTCTTGTCTTTTTGCATGTCCATCCATTTTTTTCTAGTGCAACAGGGACCAAGACCTCATTCTAAAATGACTGCCGTGTGTATATTTTCAATGTTTTAGAAGAGTAGTGCTTAAGCAGGTTAAACTAACTGCGCGGGTTAAAAAGACCCCTGACTGCACAGCCAATGGCTGAAAAACATCAGACATGTTACCTACCTTGTTAATTATAATTAGGGCTAAAATTTTTCTTCTGCAGTAATTAAAACAAACAAAAAAATGCTGGATATTAAGAAAAATCCCATTTGAGACCCAGGGAGAAAGCCTACCTGGGTGCCTGGGTGCAAAGGCCAGGTCTATTTCTCACATTTCGCTCCTTTTGTCATTTTCAGTTCGTCATTGTAGAAAACATGATAAAGACAATGGTTCCCTGCATTTGTATTTTCAATATGTATTCACAACATCGAGACACGTTTGTTGACTCACCAATTTCATTCTGCAGAGAAAGATTCCGAGACAAATTTCTCAGCAGGGAGACCGCCGTCTTTTTCACACTTGGATCACCAACATGCAGCATCTTGCGGATGTGCTGAAGGCCATTTTCCTTCTGGACAACTGTTTGAGCTACTGACGTCGGCATCTGTTGCATGAGACAAGTCTTATCAGTACTATTGCCATTTGACTTCATGCTAATATTAAATTTCTGTAGATTATTAGAGACTGAGCAAGATGTTTTGAAAACTAGGGCTGTGATGAAACTAGTCTGAAGATATTTCCTTTAAATTCTTAGTATGTTTTCAGGGGCAGCTGGGTGGCTCAGTTCATTAAGCGTCTGCCTTTGGCTCAGGTCATGATCCCAAGGTCCTAGGAGTCTGCTTCTCCCTCTCCTTCTGCCCCTCTCCCTCTTCATGCTCTGTCTCTCTCAAATAAATAAATAAAATTAAAAAAAAATTATTATTACATTTTCAATTTTATTACAGGACAAAAACAGCTTATTTGGTATTTTTAAATAGAATACTGGATTTGGTTAGTTTCTATATTTTTGCATGCTTATAAACAAAATGGGCTTGTCTTTTCCTTTCTTTCCTCTTTATTCCCATTTTCAGCTCAGCATTGTGAAAAGGATATAAGGACGATGTTTTAGAATCAAACACTAGTGTCATGAAATTAGTTGCATAATGTTTTCCCTTTTTCTATTTTCTTTTTTTTTTTTTTTAAAGATTTTGTTTATTTATTTGAGAGAGAGAGAGAATGAGAGAGAGAGAGCACATGGGGGGGGGGAGGGTCAGAGGGAGAAGCAGACTCCCTGCTGAGCAGGGAGCCCGATGCGGGACTCGATCCAGGGACTCCAGGATCATGACCTGAGCCGAAGGCAGTCGCCTAACCAACTGAGCCACCCAGGCGCCCCCTTTTTCTATTTTCTTGAACTATTTGTTTGATATAAGAATAATCCCAACTTTGTGGGCCTTGTGGAATTTACCTATAAAGACAACTGAGCTGAGGAAAATTTTAAAGGGCGATGTCTTTAATATTTCAGCGTATTTGCTTGCTGTTGCTTTGGTCACCTTCTTGCTCACATTTTGGCATTTTACATATTTTAATAAACTTATTCATTTCTAAGAAGCCAGCTTATTCTAAAAGAGATACTGAGCTTTTAAAGAAAAGAATGTATGGCTAGTTAGATTTAATTTTACATTCTCAATCAGAGGTTGTATGTGCAAATCATACTTGGAATCAGGCTGGCCACCTACTTTCAGGGGGTCTGAGTACTGACCAGAACCTTCCTAGCATCAATATACTTCTAATACTGGGGTCTCAGCTTGTGTCTAAAACTTTATAGACTTGTATTTGAAGCTAACTTGAGGCCACCTGCCAGAAATTCCTATAATTCTTGACCATTCTTCAGGGTGTCTATCTTCTCTGTTTCTCTTATCTAAACACTGCTTATTTCCCCCACCTCCTGCAGACTGCTCTCCTTACACTCTCCACTATACTTTTTAGAACAGGGGTTCTTAATATAGGGCCCAGGATAGGTTTCAGGGAGGAGACAGGAGGTCCTTAAAACTGTTTCAGTATTGGGGCACCTGGCTGGCTCAGCTGGTGGAGCCTGCAGCTTTTAATCTTTGAGTTGTGAGTTTGAGCCCCACTTTGGGTATAGAGATTACTTAAAAATTAAAAAAAAATCGGGGGTGCCTGGGTGGCTCAGTCGTTAAGTATTTGCCTTAGGCTCAGGTCATGATCCCGGGATCCTGGGGTCGAGCCCCGCGTCGGGCTCCCTGCTCAGCAGGAAGCCTGCTTCTCCCTCTCCCACTCCCCCTGCTTGTGTTCCCGCTCTTGCTATTTCTCTCTCTGTCAAATAAATAAATAAAAATCTTAAAAATCGTAAAAAACAAGACAAAAGAAAGCCTATTTTTGTGTTCATAATAAACTTTCTCAGGGAAAGGATATATAATTTTTATTAGATACTCTTAAGTGTCTACAACTCCAAAGAAGTTTAATAATCACTATTTTAGAATGTTTTATTGTAAACAAGTTACACTTTGTCTTTCACTAATTTGCAGAGCACTCCGTTAAACTATTTGCTCAATTCTGAGAAGAATCCTTCCTCTGTAGCCATCCAGAGAGGAGGCTATTTATTCTCTACCAGTCCTGTGACTTGGGCACAGAGGCAGGTTAGCATTCCTTTCTCTTCCCAATGGCCTGTCTAGATAAATGTCTTCCCTCACATGCAAAAGCTCTGCTCTTCTGAGTCACTGTCATCCAGCTCTATTACCTACATAGAGTTTTCTTTGTCATCTCAAGGCCTACTGGTCTTTTCCCAACATCCACTGGAGGCTTCAGAGCCTGGCTCAGAGCCTTCTCCACCTCCCATTCACTGTAGATGACCACATCATAGTTCCTAGCCTTCCTAAATGTCACTGACCTTCATCTCTCCCCTACATCAGGCATTCACTTCCGTGGTCATACAGAACCTGTATTCACCCCAAAATACCTTGATTCTGAAAACAGAAACTCCAATGTTAGACTCTGAACACAACTTCCTGTTCTCTTTGTTCTCTCTCCCTCACTCCTACCATACTACTTCTTCAGCCTCATCAAGAACTCCAATGCCTTTATCTCACCTTTACTCCCCATACCTCAAGTTGTCAATCCTCTTCTGCCTTACCTTTCTTTCTTATTTAGACTAAGGTACATGAACCAACACATCAAAAACCATCTTTCAATACCCTTAACTCTCTTATCATTCCAGCTTATTTCTACCCACCCATTAAAACTGCAAAACTCATTTGATACCTGGCCACCAAATACTGCTAGAGTAAATAGGGCATTTGTGGAATGATTTTTTTCTGCAAATTTATGGTCTCCAGTCTTCACTAGAAACGAAATGTTGCCAGTCAACTTGCTGTTTTTTAAATGCCCATTGGGGCTTCAAAGCCTTACACCAGAATGATCCTCTTAAAATTTAATCTGATTATGTTCTACCTCAGGATTAAGCCGTGTAATGACTCTCCATTGTCTCCAGAATGTTCAGATGTCTTCATATGGCCTGGCATCCACTTCCCTCTCTTTCCTTATCATTACTCCCTAATTCTCTAGGTTACAACTATACCAAGCTGCTATTTCTTCTATTAGAACACAAGCTCCTTTAAAGGAGGACATGGATCTTATCCATCCCTTTTTCTCCCCTCAGGGCCTTGTATGGTGCCTAGAACATGAGAGGTCCTATGTAAATGTTTACTGAACTGAACTATATGAATAATATGTTATCAAGTTTTCCCAAAGATTTACTATCATCTCAGGAGATCAAGATGGAGTAAAAAGTCACAAGATATTTATTTCTTAAAATTTTTAAGACATAAGATGCTTTTAAAATTAAAAATCTTGCTTTGTATGTATATCATACTGTACCACCTAGTGATATATTGTTATATATAATAAAGCACTTTGATGTTAGTATATAAAAAAGATCATTGAAACATACAAGTCCTGATGAAGTCTGGATCCTCAAATGATGTTTAATCAACCAGGGGAAAGCACAGCATATTAGTCTTCTGATTCATTGAGGGAAATGACAAAGTCCGAAGTGAGATGCCCTTTACAATTTGCTCAAAAAGGAAAGTAAACAGTCAGATTTACCAAATAGAGATTTTTGTATTCCAGCTCCAGGGAATATGTGAGAATGAGTATTAATTAGTTGGTCAGCTATTTGCAAATAGCACTTCTAGTTCATATTGTCGTGATTACTAATGAGGTTTTAAGCACCTCTTCAAATGTTTATTGGCCATTTCTATATTATCGTTTGTGAAGGGCCTGTTCAAGTCTCTTGCCTGTTTTTCTATTGGGTTACTTTATGATTGTTAACTTGATGAGTTTTTTTAATATTTTCCAGACAATCTTTGTTACTTATGTATGTCGCAAAAATTTTTTTCTACTCTGTGGTTTGCCTTTTTACTATCTTAACAATGTCTTTTGATAGCATAACAGCATAAGTTAATTTTAATGTAGTCAATTTATAAAATACATATAGTACTTTTTCTGTCCACTTTAAAAAAATCTTCCCCTATTCCCAGGTCATGAAGATCTTCCACAAGCTTTACTGTCTTGTCTTTCATATTTAAATCTCATCGCTGTTAGAACTTGTTTTCTAGTAAGGTGTGAGGGTAAGGGATATGTTTTGTTTTTTTTCCAACGGATATTAAATACTTTTAAAGTGCTTAGAGGGAGCCTGAGTGGCTCAGTTGGTTAAGCAACTGCCTTCAGCTCAGGTCATGATCCTGGAGTCCCGGGATCGAGTGCCGCATTGGGCTTCCTGCTCAGCAGGAAGTCTACTTCTCCCTCTGACCCACCCCCCTCTCATGCTCTCCCTCTCTCGTTCCCTCTCTCTCAAATGAATAAATAAAATCTTTAAGAAAATAAAATAAAGTGTTTTAGAAATTTGTTAAAGTGCTTATTTCAATGACTTTTAACTTTGGCTATGTGACGTTTAACTTATTTCTATTGATACATAACTGACACATAACATTGTAATAGTTTTAGGTGTAAAACATAATGATTTGATATACCTATATACTGCAAAATAATTACAATAAGTTAATATTCATCACTGCACATGATTACAACTTTTTTTCTTATGATGAGAACTTTTAAGATTTATTCTCCTAGTAACTTTCAAATATACAATACAGTATTAAGTATAGTCACGATGCTGTGCATTATATCCTTGGGACTTACTTATCTTCTAACGAAAATTTGTACCTTCATCTTTTCTTTTTTTGTACCTTAATCTTTTGATTTCTGTACTTAGAGAGTTTGCTAATGGGTAAATATTATTAATTCTTTCTCTTTCCTTATTATTAGAATGACCACTATATCTAAACCAATAAAGTTTAATACTGACTAGAAATTACTGTCATAATTTTATACTTAAATTATATAACCAATCTTTTAGGACGCTACTCATTTCAGTTTAGCTTCTTTGCCATTTCAGGCACAGGGCCATCAACTGCTCAGCGTTATCTCAGTTATGAACACAAGGTTAATGGACTGGATGTTTTCTGAAACTATTTTAAATCTTTTTTTTTTAAAGAGTTTTATTTATTTATTGAGAGAGAGAGAGAATGGTAGAGGGAGAGCATGAGAGGGAAGAAGGTCAGAGGGAGAGGCAGACTCCCTGCTCAGCAGACTCCCTGCTGAGCAGGCAGACTCCCTGCTGAGCAGCAGTCCTGATGCGGGACTTGATCCCGGGACTCCAGGATCATGACCTGAGCCGAAGGCAGTCGCTTAACCAACTGAGTCACCCAGGCACCCCTGAAACTATTTTAAATGCTTTGCTTTTCATGTTTTCCTATTCAATGATTCTTTTTAGAAATTATAAAAACAAGTATTTTTTATCATACAATTTAAGCATAACAAAATTAGGAAAAGTAATAATTAGAAGGGATATATATAAGTCAAAAGTTTTAATAAAAAGCATCTTGTAACTTAAAAGAACATATCACTGTCTCATGGTGCTAACGATTTTCTCCTATAAATCTCCAGTCAAATTAAACTCTAACAACTTGAGTACCGATTCATACCAGTTCAGCATAGGCCTCCTTTCAGGGGACCAGACTGGTTTAACATTAGGTATGATTTTAAATGCCTTGACACAATGAGGATAGTTATGAGGGTATCTCCAATGCTTGGATTCCTTTTGGACTTGGAATCGCCTAGTACCTTAGGTTTCTGTTTATTTATTTATCCCAGTTAGATTATTACCAAGCACAGGGATTTTGTCTTATTCACTGCTACATACTTAGCACTAGGCTAGTTAGTACTTGCTATATAGTGGGCACTCAAAAAATGAATAAAGGAACTTAAGATCATATTCAGAACTTAAGTGGCACAAATATTTCTATCCTTAGGAACATGGAAACATTTCTGGACTGTTTGGATTCCATGAGAGATCTTGGAATGGAAGAGGCTAAAATGCAGGCTTAATGGGTTAGCTCGATCTGAACCACACTCAGAGCACAGGGACCTCAGATATGCACACATATAGCTGCACGCCGCGTTAATTCCTGACGTTTTCTTTTAAGTTGGCTGGGAGTTAATAAGAGGGCTTCTGGGAAACGCAGCCTGGGAAAATGGTAAGGTACAATGACTGTGAATCATTCAGGGCTCCCTGGTAGTTTCTTGTTCCCTCCTCTTTGTGCACAAGTAAATTTTGCAGAAAATCAGAGATAAAAAAAAAAAAATCTTTTAAGATTTATTTATATATATATTTTTAAAGATTTTATTTATTTATTTGACAGAGAGAGACACAGGGAGAGAGGGAACACAAGCAGGGGGAGTGCGAGAGGGAGAGGCAGGCTTCCCGCTGAGCAGGGAGCCCGATGTGGGGCTCGATCCCAGGACCCTGGGATCATGCCCTGAGCTGAAGGCAGACGCTTAATGACTGGGCCACTCAGGCGCCCCTAAGATTTTATTTTTAAGTAATCTCTACACCCAACGTGGGGCTCAAATTTACAACTCCAAGATCAAGAGTCCCATGATCTATTGAATGAGTCAGCCAGGCGTCCTAAGTTTGGTCATATTCTTAACCACAGTGCTAAGATAAGAGAAATACTGGTTTTAGTATTTCACAGTTTTGTTCAAAACAGGGCAAGCTTCTGTGTAAACACATTAAAGAATGAATATGGTTTCTCAAGAATAAATAATATTTTTGTTATCCACAAGAGTATTCTTCTCTATGGGGATGGATAATTGGAAACTGAACATATAATTAACAACTTTGTGTGTGTGTTTATTCTAATAATTTTATGATCAAGACAAAGAATATAAGCTTAGCTCAAATAACTAAATATTTATAGAATCCCTAACTGTGTAGCAAGGTGTAAAATACATAGGGAGAGGAATAAGCTTTTACTGTTTTATGTATTTTGACTTTGCTGGTATAAAGTAAGTGCATCAGGAAGAGAAGCAGCTCTTTATTTTGTAGTTGAATTTCTGGGATGTAAAAGCACAGATGTCCTTTCCAACTCCATACACAGTGGACATCTGTTGTTTTTGCCTGGGCAGCATTCATTCTTCCTTCTGCTAATGAGCAGCTCCTTTAACATTTCAGTCCATGTGGTCCCAGTGGCAATGACCCTGCCTGCTCAAACCCATGCCCTTGAAATTCACAGGTGGGCATATCACCTAGACCTGGCCAGTCAGAACATCAACCAGCTCCTAGCCACAGGTTCAGATATGGGCAAGTGAGAATCTTGAGTTCCAAATGGAGCTATTGAGAAAATAGGAGTTTCTTTTCTGTGGGGACATTGGGTAGATAAAATGTAAGTCTGAAAGCATTGGTGACCTTTGCTATCATATGAGAAGAGCCTTTGAGAATAAAAAAGGGGAAGAGGGAACCCAGAGATAGAGTTATAATTATAACTGCTAGGACACCCACCTACCATGACAGAAAGAAGACTCACCTTGACAGAAAGAAGACTCACCTTGACCTTCCAGTTAAACGGGCCAAGACATTCCTCTTTTTTGCCCAGGTCAGTTTAAGTAGGATTCTGAGACTTATAACTGAAAGAGCTCTAATATAAATATCTAGGAGCCTTTCACTCACAGCCTGACTTGGCTCTGCAGAAACTGAGGCTGAAAGTCCTAGAAAGCTGGACCTCTTGCTGGCAATTACTGAGAACTGTCTTGACTGAAGAGGAAAAACTTTTCCCTTACTTCACTGTCTCATTTCTGAAACTAATGTAGGTATGTCCTACAATGTCATTATTTTTATAAAGCAGAAGAACAGGGGTGATACTCACTGGTCCACTTCCTGCAGTGAGATTCTGCAAAGCTCCCAAAGATGCTTCCTGAGTGTAGTTTCGGACACTCTTCGCGATCAAGGACAAATACATCCGTATCACGATGGAATGCCATAGCCATTCCACACCCTTCGGGTTGCTCTTTTCTTCCGGCATCGGCATATCCTGATATTGCTAACCACATACACAGTGAAATCCAGAATTAATGCCTTCAAGTGATTTCTAGAATTCCACACCCAAACTAAGGGACCAGAGAAACCATTTAGTCTAGAGAGACTGACAATTTGCCTAATAACAAGCCCCTGATATGGAAATGAAAAAGCAAATATGTATGATTTTCAAGCAGTTAACTTTTAGCTCATAATGTCTATTTCTCCTTAACAACACCCCAACTTTATATTTCACAGTGAGAGAAAACTCGAGAATGAAGCATAGGCTATTCTAGAATAGTTTTCAGGCTGCTGTTAAGCTAAAAGCTAAATTAGTCACAACCACTGTGGAGATAAGAAAAACAGGCCTCTTCCCTCAGTCTTGTGAAGTTGTCTGGGATAACATCAGGATTCTAAATTTACCAGTTACTCTCCAAGTTCACAAATATGTACCATGATAGTCTGAGGAATAGGAGGGGTTACATTCTTCCAGTTTTCATGAAATGCCAGTAGGGACAGTATTCCTTCATATGGATGTACTTTTAGGATACCCAGAGCTAAACATCAGGGTTGCTTTTAATGTTAAACAATTTATACACCATTGGCTATGCTGTATTAAGCTTATTTCCTAACTTATAAAGCATACAGCAGTGTGGTACAGTGGCTAACAATGCAAATCTGGAGCCAGACCACCTGGGATTGAATTCCATCCCCTCTATTATAATTTCCTGGATTTTTTTGGGGGAAAATAAGCCATTCTGTACTTCTGTTTCCTTGTCAATAAATGAGGATATTAATAATACATACCTCGTAAGGTTGATGTAAGGATTAAAACAACTTAAAATAGTGCCTGACATATACTAAGTACTCAGAAATATACACATACACACTTTTTCTTTCAAAGTCCTTCCAACATACCTCTTTTATTTTCCTGCTTCGACTGCCAAAACACCCAATACTTTTGTTGTCAGTCTGGATAGTCCGGTTTTGAATATAGATACTCTGGGAATATCTATCTGGGAGCTCTGCCTCCAGCTGGTAGGAGAGGTTATGAAGAATGCACACACAGTTCTCTGTGGCCTGAGAAAACAGGAGATGAATACTGATCATACACATACAGACATCCCTTTGGAAGTGTGCTACCAGAGGATGTACTACGCTTTCGATCTTACACAGTTTAGTGGATGCAGTGGGGTGTGCTTGGACTGTGTCTGGGGGAGTGGAATGAGTGTGGCTAGATCATGAATGGTCATGAGCACAATGCTAAGAAGTAGAGGCTGAATTTCTTAAACCACTGGAGAGCCTTTCTAGTTTACATTGAAGAGTGTGTTCAGACGATTCTATATTTTACGATACGTAATTTAGTAGCCACATGGAGCTGGAAAACAGAAGAACTGTTTGCAGGACCAGTTAGGAAGCTATTGCATGGTAAGTATGAAAGATGCACAAACCAGGGCAGCAATCACAGCATGAGGGAGGAGGAGTCGGCCAACTGGAGGGCGTTTCCAAGGTGGAACGCATATGGTTTACTGCCTGATGGATACAGGATGTGAGGGAAGGCAAGGAGGCAGTCAGAGATTATACAGATTTCTGCTTTCATTTGGTGGGTGGGGATAATTATTAAGAAGGATTATTCAGGGGCGCCTGGGTGGCTTAGTCGTTAAGCGTCTGCCTTCGGCTCAGGTCATAATCCCAGGGTCCTGGGATCGAGCCCCGCACTGGGCTCCCTGCTCAGCCGGGAGCCTGCTTCTCCCGCTCCCACTCCCCCTGCTGGTGTTCCCTCTCTCGCTGTCTCTCTCTGTGTCAAATAAATAAATAAAATCTTAAAAAAAAAAGAAGAAGGATTATTCAGAGAAGGAGCAAGTTTGGGAATAAGGGAAGAGATGAACTTAAGTTCATTATTGCACATGGAACTCTCGGGCTCCTTTCAAATACCTACATAGAGTTGTTAAACAGGTAGTTGTAAACTGGGGTCTGGAAAGTAGACAGAAAAATGGGGCTAGGTAGATCTTAATATTTCTAAGCATGGATGGGAAACTTTAAGCTTAGCAAGTGAGTTAATGAATAAAGCGAAACCCAAACAGAATACTTCCAGAATCCTCTGAAGCGTCTTAGTAAGACAAAGTAAGTAATTCAAATGAGAGATATTTAACCCATGAATCACCTTGTCATCTGGCTGGTAGTCTGCGATGGTTCCTCTGACATAATGGACCAGCGAGTCGATCAGTCCATCACACCTTCTCATCACTTTCCTCCCATCAGGGCCGGCCGAACTCATGTTTCTATCAGGAAAAACAAACAACCATAAGATTTAAGCTGTGTATCTAATAGGCCTTCGTTCCAAAGCTTTATTTGATTGATGCTTCTTCCAAGTGTTTGGAAAACTGACAAATTTGTAAAAAAGTGGCAGACAGGTCCTGGGGTCAGTTCATTATCAATTGCCTGATGGTCATCAAATCTGGACACAACCTCTAACTATATTCCTATAACATGTCATCAGGTCAGTAAAAGCTTTCTGTCTACTTCACTTCAAGCACCAAGGTCACAGCATCATTCACTTAATCTGCAATCTGTTTTTGAGAGGGTAGATATGAAGCAAACACTTTGCAACTAAAAGAACAAATGGAACATTCGACGTAGCACTATACTAGATGTCCAAGTCCCAACTTGTTCTGTGTCTTAACTCTACGTAAGTTAAAGTGACTTAAATTCTCTGGGCCTCAGTTTCCTCATTTGTAAAGACACGATGTTGGACTCTACTATTTTGGGGTTTTGTAGCTTTCAGTGTAAACAATTATTGACAAATATCAAACCAGATGTTCTAAAATGTGATGATTCTATAATTAAAATGGCAGAGAGATGTGACAAGAATGTAAAGTTCCACAGTGTGTAAGACCTAAGTCAAAAGCATGACCTATAAATATCTTTGCACTTAGTCTATTTCTAATTTTGCTAGGCCATGACACCTTTCTATAAACAGTAACTACATCTATAAATGGAGGTTGCTTCCTTATAGAGAATTGAAACTTATCACATCCAGCAAAGTAATTTATTTGGGGATCAAATTTCAAATTCAGAACCTTAATTGCTATGAACTATTCCTATAAAATTTATCAGACCAGTTTTTTTTTGTTCTTTTTTTTACTGGTAGGTAGAGTATTCAAAGTATATTCAAAAGTTTTTGTTTATAGCGTCTCTGTCAGACTGAACATCAAAAGAACTACAATTCTGAGAACTTTTTGGGTCTTATTTTCTTCATCTTTAAAACAATATATTGCATTAAATAATTTCAAAAAGGCTTTCTGCCCCAAAATACTGCTTTCAGTACATACTATATGAGAGAACAAATGTACCCAGCATGGTATCAAGAACTAATGGGAACAAGAAAGGAACACAGAGCATTGTACCCTGCTTCCCATGAAAATCACATCCATAGGATGAACTTGATGATACAAGACTGTTTTTAACCCACAGAAATGTAATTTCATGATTCAACCTAATAGTTGAGATGAGACTAATATATTTAAACTAAGGATATACAAAAATTTAATGGTTGTTGGACTGATACAATGAATTTTTAATTTTAACAAAATCCTTTGTGACCTTGGTTTTCATTCGACTATTCCAATTAAAGATTTACCTCCTTAATTTTTACCGTACCTAAAAAACTGACACTTTGTCCGTTAAAAAAAGATAATGCATGGGTTTATAAGCTAAATTGAACCATTTTTACTATAGCTTTTCTTCTCAAGAAATGATCATTTGAACCAAGATCCTGTATCTATTCTCTGAAGAAGCCTGACAGAAACTGAAAAAGCGTCTTTTCCAGTCATCTTCTTTTACACATGGAGAAACGGAGGTCCAAAGAATTTAAAAGTTACTTTTCCCGGTGACAGCATAGTAGTGGTAAAGTCAGAATAGGAGAGCTGCTCTTTATTGTTGTTCTTAGGGGCAGCTCCAGAATAGAGCACACCTCATCAACATTCATTCACTCCGTCATTTGCTTAGCAAATACCAGATGTCCCCCAACTCCAAGACAACGTTATCACATCTTTTAAAGCTTCCCCTTGATCTTTCAACCTCTGGCTTGGAGAAATGGCAGAGGTTTAAAATTGCTTTGACAAATCAAAAGGTTTCTGACTAGCTAAAGCTGCCACATACCTTGCAGATGGATGACCTAGCTTTGTTAAACTTCGGGGTGTTTATTTTCGGTGCGAATGGTAATTCGCTTTGGTGGGACTGCCAGTTCACATGCACGGACTCTTGTCCGTAGTTTGGTATTATCCAGACTCTACTTGCTTGAAATGGGACTTATCAGGGTTTTCTGGCACTTGACACCTTTGTTGACAGAAAGTGTAACCCCACTGCTTCAGTATTTGCTCCTGCATATCAAAAATAGTTCCTACCTTACTCAACTGCCCAGAAATATGAATGATAAGGGTGGATTATTTTATAGCACTACATCCATGAATAGAAGTCACTAGTCAGAAAGGAATTTGTTATTGTACCACTCTGAAAATAAGCAGTAATTATGAAAGTGATATATCTATCTTAAGGGACTAAAACATTTTTTTCAACAGCTAGTACTTAAGTTTGTGGAAATCAGAGAATTACCAGGGCTAATCTTAGGCAGAATGGAAGCTTTTATAATGTATCTCCCAAATCCTGAGAAATATTTATTTATAACTATTTCCTCTATGTAGCCCAAAAGAGGTTTAATATGAAAAATATCCCACAGTTATAAATGAAACTATCAAATATCGATATATGGAAACAATTATCTTATTGAAAAGTAAAAAAGAATGAGCATATAAACACAGTACTGAATAAAAATTGATTATCAGGGTTACCAATGAATATATTAGAAATGTTTAATTTAGTGTCTATGATTTTAACTCAATTAGATGATGGTTTTACTTCCCCTGGTATAATTTGGCCAAAGGCTGAGTAAATATGTGGGTAACTTCCAGGAAACCAAAATATGCATGCTGTTGTACACTGAAATTTAAAAACCAGATTCCTGGACTGGGGGGTTGGAGGCTGGTGGGAGAAGTGGGGAATATAAACCCTTCCCACAAAGGCAGGATTGTTTTGGAGCTCTTCACCTTCCCTGAGCCAGAATAGGGGGAACACCAGCTTGATCAGTTATTTATGCTTAATATGAGGTAGAATTTTTCTGGTAATAGGACTTGTTAAGGGTGGGGGGAAAAATAGAATCTGAACCTCTGCATGTCTCTGAACAAAACTTTACAGATTTAGGAAGATTCAGGTGTTTTATCTAAAAGCAAATCAATGATTGATGACTGTCTCTAGGATCACTTTTCTCACACATTCCTGTATGTCATAACGAAAAGGAGAAAAGAAAACCAAACACCCAGGACTTTGCTAGAATTGAAAGAAGAATGATATGTCTTTGTTGAGATTAATGACAGGGTGACTAAACCTTAAAGTCATAGGGCAAACCAAAGAATGGACAATGTCAAATGATAAAGACAACCGCAACTCAAGTGTGTGTGATAGACATGGCAGTAGGCACTTTACAAATACTGTTATCTGTAATTTTCACAAAATTCTCCAAATTAGGGCATGCTAAAATTTCATTTGGAATCCTGACCTGTGACTCTTGTTTCAAATCAGAATTCCCTGCTTCTAGTAGGCTTTTTACTGGCCCTTCCATAAAAAGTTATGTGTGTGTGGCTGCATGCAGGCCGTTACAGCTAGGTGGCCAGCACCAAAAGGAAGTTTGTCACAACACAGAACGGCCAAAGCTCAGTGTGTGCTGTACGGTCAGCTAGCGTGGGGAAATGAACACTATATGTTAACTATTCTGGAGTTAAAATAAAAAAAAATTAAAAAAAAAATAAAGTTAAAGGCTACAATTACTTAACATATCTGAGAATGGCAGACAACACAATAATACGGTTAAAGCGAGTCTTTTCAAGACACTTCACCAACAACAAGTAATTCTAAGAGGCAGAGATTTTTTTTTAAATGGGGCGATACCTACTACTAATAGGTGTAGTTTCCTCCTAACACACAGTTTACATGTGTGTCACATACAAGACCTACTGCCTATGGGGCCAATCTTCAAGGTCTAGCTAGCATACCGAAAGAGTGATCACCCTGATGGTTTTACAAGTATCATAGGTACATCTTCACGTTCACCAACAGCTATAGGATTTCTAATATCGTGTATCGTAAACTGTGCAATAAGGCCCCAGTCCACTAAGTGCTTGGTCAGAGTCCATTCTAAGACCCAATAGGCACTTGATAAAGAGATTGGTGGATAAGGAGGCGTCCTTCTTCCTCTTGTTATTTGAGATTTAGGGCTGGGCTTTTGTTTATCTCTCAGCTGATATATATCAAACAGTTAGGCCTTGTCTGTGAGTAACCCAAAGAAAGCAGCAGAAGCAGCTTGTTATTGCACAGAATAAAAGGGAAGCCTCATTTGAACTGGCAGAGGGACAAAAACTCTTTGCCAAGAAAAGGGATTGTCTGTTACCCTAAAGTCAACATCAGTTCCTGAAGGTATCTGCAAACATCAGTCAAAGTCAACTGTTTGGTCTGCAAACAGAAGCATCATTGGGAGGTAGAACAAAGCTCTCCCACGTACACGTCTTGTTCCTTCCAAAACAAGGAACATTAACCGAACAAAGATATGTCAGCATCTATTACACATCAAGAAACCAGAAGGCAGAGGAAGAGAAAATCTATCCTTAAAAATCCTTTGGTTTTGCTTTCCTGTATTTTTCAGATCTTCTAAAAGTGTTCTGAATAATCAATGTAGCCAGCAATCATCTGGTTGGTAGGTAACAGTCACTTCCTTTGGATTTAGTTGGCTGTTCAAGGTAGAATGCCAAATTCCATTTCAAATCAATTATAAACAGCAAACTAATTTTTATAATATGCCTGGGAGCCACTGGAACTTGAACAGACATTCTTGACACCTAAAGGAGATGTCTCAGATGCCAGACAAGGACTGATGAAGATGCTTAAAACTTAGAGTAAAATCATATGATGCTCAGATGGTCTGCACCTCCAATACAGGCACAGATTTTAACCACAGGATAGCAACAAAGTCATCAGCTGCTTTACTCAAATATATCAACCTGCTCATTTTTTTTTATCATGATGAATTACAAAATTTTTAATAGTTCTATGAGGATAATCAAGCTTTTTTAGAAAAAGATTTTCAGTGACATAAGCTACAGTTAATAATAAACTACTTCCAATTTAAGTTGTACAGATTTTTTTTTTTAAACATGAGGATGTTAAGGGAGTA